AGAAAGAGATTCCTATCTTGAGAGTGGCCATTTTTGGGGTGATATTGAGGATACATAAACCCAAAACAGGATTAGTCGGGTTTATTAGATATTGGTTAATATTAAAAAAATAAAGGTAAATATAAATATCTTAACTAAGTTTCCACAAATTTTAACAAGTCCCTACCTATTTAGTGTGTTTATATCTATATGATTTTCCATATAACCTTATCATATGAAAAACTTACATGGAAAAATCTATTATAAAACATCCTCATAATATTCATGATACCAATTCTTAATAAAAAAATGAATTAAATGAAAAAGTATATTCATTTATTATCTTGAGAATATAAAAATATCAAATACTTTCTTCTTTTAGTAATTATAGGATTATACTAGCAGTAAAATTGACTTGGAAGGTTTATAATTATTCCATAAATGTTTAATTATGTTTTGAATCTCTATTAAGTATGTATAGCTATTTATTTTTTTTTGGTTTTAATTCCTCAATTTTAAATCTCTAGGAACGGGTATCATCCTTCTGTTATATTGCTATCAGAGAAAGTTATTATCTAAACCCGTGGCGTCTTAAGTGAATTTAATTATGGGTTCCTTTTTGTCATTTGACATGACGAGCACTTTCCTACACACACAAATCAAGTGTGGGTCCCACGCTTAAAAAAAAAAAGTCAGACCAAAGTCAGGATACGACGCCGTATCCTTAGGATACGACGCCGTATCCTTGTTGCAGGAATGAACAGTGCCATTCCTGCAACATGATTCTTATATTTCCCTTTAATTATAGGGGAGCATCTCTTTCATGCTACGAAAGTAGGTATTCTTTTAAATTCAAATGGCATTAAAAAAAATAAGAAAAAAATATTTTTGCAGTTAATATAGATAAGTTACCTGCATTTATTTCCAAAATAACGTCGTTTTGATATTGAAATCTTAAAAAATTATAAATATAAAGACTATTATAACCCTGAAATAAATTGAAAGGGCTCACTTTTTCTACAGTAAGCCTAATACGACGTCGTTTTGGGGCGAAAATCTTGGTGTTTTTGTAACGCTTGGCAACTTGCAAGGATCAACGACTGTCCTCACACACTAACACAAGACTTTTCAGCGTGCTTTGTCCTCACTCGCACACTTCCCGGGAAATTTTTCCAGGAGATCACCCATACCATAATTGCCCCAAGTCAAGCACGCTTAACTATGGAGTTCGAGGAGAGGCCCTGCTTTGATACCACTTGTAACGCTTGGCAACTTGCAAGGATCAACGACTGTCCCCACACACTAACACGAGACTGTTCAGCGTGCTTTGTCCTCACTCGCACACTTCCCAGAAAAACTTCTCAGGAGGTAATCCATCCCAAAATTACCCCAAGTCAAGCACGCTTAACTATGGAGTTCTTCCGTTCCGGGCTATCGAAAAGTAGATGCATCTTGTTAGTATAGGTAGTACCAATTAATTCTTATAAGTTATTTTCAACTGTACCGTCCCATACCAGCACAGTCTTTGGAATCTCTCTCTTTCGGGTGTTGATTTGATTCATTCATGTACCCCGTCGCTGGAAGCCTGCTAGGAGTCGCTCCTTGTCCATGCCCTTTCGTACCGGCGATCACTTCCTGCCCTCATCAGCGCCCGGGATGTTACAGATTTTGTAATTTTAATTCATTTCAAGATTATAAAAATCTTTATATTTATAATTTTTTAAGATTTCAATACCAAAACGACGTTGTTTTGAAAAAAATACAGATAACTTATCTGCAGTAACTGCAGAAACATTTTTTCCAAATTAAAATTACAAAAACACCATAATTTCCGTCCCAAAACGACGTCGTATTGAGCTTACTGCAGATAACTTATCTGCAGTAACTGCAGAAAAAGTGAAACCTAAAAATAAATGTAAATAAGTGAATTATATTTTTTCACTTTGTTAAGAGATGCAGAGTCTTCGATATCATGAAAGGCAATTTTTTTTTTTTGAGTAAATCCAACTCTAATTATTTTTTGGAGGGGAATGTAACCCCCGCTGGAAGCCTGCCAAGAATCGCTTCTTATATGTGCCCTCTCGCACTGACAATCACTTCCTGCCCTCATCAGTGCCCGGATGTTACATGTGATTAATTGTGTTTAGAGATTTTACATAGTACTTAATGATTATTAATTAGTTTTTAGTACGTTCATAGTGTAATTTAGGGATTTTAACGATGATTAATATTTATTAATTATTGTAATTACTGAATAATTGTGATTAAATTTTAATTAAATACTATAGGAAATGAGTGAGTGGGAGAATGAGAGGAGTGGGGTATCTATAAGAAGGGTTGCGGGACCTGGATGACTGGAATCACATCACATGGTCTGATCTATAAGCTATGATGCACGGACACGGACACGGGACACGACACGCCGGCACGTTAATTCTAAAAAATTTCATATTTGGACACGTTGGGACACGTTTTGATATTAAATAAAAATTTTAATATATATAATATAATTTATATTTAATACATATAAGAGTCCATAATAACTCATATAACCAATCAAATATTCAAATTTCATAACATAAATATAAATATAAATGTAAATAATTTTTCGTACTTTGTTAATTTTTCATGTCAAATTTCATAACAGAAAAAAATTAATTTATAAATTATTTATTTTATATTTAGTTAACAAAATAAAATTAAGATTAAAAAAAAAAAACGTGTCCGAGCGTGTCCTAGCGTTGACCGCGTGTCCGAAAGAGTTGACCGCATGTCCGAAAAACGTGTCAAGAATTGACCGCATGTCCCCAAATGTTAACCACGTGTCGGACGCGTGTCGGAGCGTGTCCGTGTCAGACACATAAAATTTTTTCGGATCAGCGTGTCCGTGCTTTAGTGTCTATAAGTTCTGAAGGGTTCAAGAAACTCAAAAAAGGAGATAAAAAAATTAATGAGTTTCCAATGAAGGGATTCGCAAAACTCATTAAAAAAATAAAAATAAAAGTAATTCCATGGAGGCAAGGGAGAGAACTGAACACCCCTCATCGAAAAATAATTCAAAATGCGTATAAACTTAGAAATAAACTATTCAGACACCCCTGAATGGTCAAATAGCCAATAAGTGAGTGGGAGAATGAGGGAGGGAGGTATTTATAGGAAGGGTTAAGTGTAACATCATAAGCGTCGATGAGGGCGGAGAGTGATCGCCGGTGCGAATGAGCATGAACAAAGAGCGGCTCCTGACAGGCTTCCAGCGGGGGTTACATGCATGAATGAATCGAATCAACACCCGAAAGAGAGGGATTTCAAAGACTGTGTAGGTATGAAACTACACAGTTTGGGTAGCTTATAAGAATTAATTGGTACTACCTATACTAACAAGATGCATCTACTTTTCGGTAGCTCGGAACGGTAGAACTTCCATAGTTAAGCGTTATTGACTTGGGGCAATTCTAGGATGGGTGACCTCCTGGGAAGTTTTCCCGAGAAGTGTGCGAGTGAGGAAAAAGCACACCGAAAAGTCACGTGTTAATATGTGAGGTTAGTCATTGATTCTTGAAGCGGCCGGACGTTACATTAAGGGACATGGATGATTGAAATTGTGCTACGTGGCTTGATCCATGAATATCTTGGGGGGGATTTATGGAACTAAAAAAAGAGATAAAAAAAACCCAAAAACTTAAGCAGTTGGGTGAGGCTATGGACAATGCACAAGCCCGCCCACATACCTGTGCTAAGAAACTTCACAATACTTAATTAATTTTTAATTAAATGGGAGGCGGTGAAGATCGAACCAATGACACTATGGCTTTGATATCATGTAAAGAACCAATTCAATCCAAAAGTTTAATGATTATATACAGGGAAAAATGTTTCTGAAGTTAATGCAGATAAATTATCTGCATTTATTTTCAAAACGACGTCGTTTTGGTATTGAAATCTTAAAAAATCATAAATATAAAGACTATTATAACTCTGGAATAAATTAAAATTACAAAAACACCATGATTTCTGCCCCAAAACGACGTCGTATTGGGCTTACTGCAGATAACTTATCTGCAGTAACTGCAGAAAAAGCGAACCCTTATATATATCTCTAAAATGCCCTCTCGCATGAGAGTCCATTGGGCTTAAAAGATGGACAATGCACAAATCCATCTACTTTTGCTAAAAAATTCCATAAAATTTAATTAATTATTAATTAAATATGGGTCATGAGGATCGAACCATTACACCTGAGCTCTAATACCATTTAAAAAAACCAATTGAATCAAACTTTTTGGTTACCTTTCCATCTTACACGCCTCAATTAGTACTTGCTTGGCCATCCAACCAAATGCCACGATCCAAGTAAATGTTGGCATAGTTCTCCATGCAGACAAACATGGACTAACTGAATTGGTGATTGTGCAACATGATCCAGCTACAAACACGACAAAAGTCAATGGCCACTGCATAGATGTTGTTAAGTTGGTAACAGGGGCGTTACCGTACAATGTTTCTTATGAACTCATCCGTTATAACAAGCATTAAGACTACTTCAGCCCAGTTATATACTACTACGATGATTTTTGGGGTAAGAAAATTGTTGAGCTTATTTTAAATTCTTGTTTGGATAACTATTGCTAGTTTACTATTTTTATAATTAAAACTAATTTCAACATGAGGTAACTTTCTTTTTAATTGAAAAATATTAAGAAAGTCCTTATCAGGAGTAGTTATTTGTCAAACAAATTATTATGTATTATACCTCATTATTTAAATGTAATTAGTTTTTAAATTAGACTCTCATGTAATTAGACTTAAGTTAGTTATTCTAATAACTGATCTTACTTAGCTCTCATGACTTAGACAGTTAGTTACTATAGTTAGACGGTTAGTTACTATAGTTAGTTCTTAGAGTTACTTGTTTTACCTTGGTTAGTCTTTGAGTTACTTGCTTTATTCACAGCTTGTATATAAGCTGATGTTTTACCTTCTATTCACAACTTTTGTATTTTCTTCATTACTTAGCAATGAAATCTTATTCAATATTCTCTCATTCTGTTATTATGAGTTATAAGTGTTTTGTATTGGAAAATTGTTTGGAGTAATGAAAATTATCAAGAATAGATTGTAAGTACTATTGCAGAGGAGTTGTGGAGGAGGGTTTGGAGCTTTATCAGAAAAAGTTAGTTTGATAGATAGTTTGTGCTTTACTCATAAAAAGTTATATTGCAATGTAGCTTATAGTGAATTTGATTTGTGTTTAATATGAATTATTGGTATACTGAACAGGAATTTGATGCAGTGGTAGGAGATATAACGATCATGGCTAAGAGGTCCTTGTATGTGGACTTCACGTTGCCCTTCACCAAAACTTGGATTTTCTTGAAGCCCTTGACATGGGAACTCTGGCTCACAATTGGTTGCTTCTTTGTGTTTACTGGCTTTGTGGTTTGGCTTCTTATACACCAAGTCAATTAAGAATTTAGAGGTTCTCTATCACATCAAGTCAGCGCTATCTTTTGGTTTTCCGTCTCAACATTGGTCTTTGAACAAAGTAATATTTTCTCATTTTCTCTTCTTCCTAAATTTGTAGCTCTTTTGTTCTTGTTTTATCTAAGGAGCTAAATTCCACAGGGGAGAGAGTCCAGAGCTACATGGCTAGGTATGTGGTCATCATATGGAATTTTGTGGTTGAAAGGTATCAGAATATATTGAGAATGAAGACTACGACACGGTTCAGGATGATGTTGAGGGCATTGAAGCCACAAGCTTACCCCATCATGAAGTATAGGCCCAATTATATTTTGTTTTGTTGATGTATATGTAAAGAACCAATTCAACCCAAAAGCTTAAGCTGTTAGATGAGGCTGTATTAATTGTTTTATATATCTCAACACGCCCCCTCACACGAGAGCATTCCACAAGAGAAAGTGGGGGCGGTGAGGATCGAACCCGTGATCTTGTGGTCACTCAAGCTCTGATACCATGTAAAGAACCAATTTAACCTAAAAGCTTAAGCTGTTGGGTGAGGCTATATTAATGGTTTTATATATCTCAAGAGTATATAATCTTTTATTGATGATGGAACCTATTTGACACCTTGAGTTGTACATATTTTTTCTATTATATTCATTCCCATGTTTGAGGATTGCCGTTTTATTCTTGATGCTGAGTTGCAACACACTCATGAGTGCATTGATGCTGATTTTATAGAATTAAGTTGTGGTTTCCAAATCTGCTCATGTGCTTATTGATCATAAATTATCCAGATGTGCACTCAGGTATAACTATTGAAGTCTAGAATCATGTGGATATCTCCTGCAGTATTGCAATGTGCACCTGCTCTATTTCTTTCTTTCTCTAAGTGCACCTCATGCAATACTGCTGGAGATCCAAATCCTAGTCAAATAATGGATGAATTCCCATATCCCATTAAATAATTGCTTTACATCAATTCTTGCACACCCTTGTTCACTCCTTTAGTTTTAGTAGCAAGCTCTACATAATTTGTACCTAGCAGCAAGTAAAATTTACCATCAACTTTGGAAGAGATTACCTTGTGTCTGGCATGATTTCACTTTGCAAAGTTCCTTTGTAGTGCCAATTGTCAAAGCTCCCAATACATATAAACCTATTAGGAAAGGCTTCTGTACCACTACATTTCACGCTCCAATTAGTCCTACTAGCTAAAAGCTATTTTGCAGAGATTCCTGCACTCCCTTCAGTACTACTAAAAAATTTGAAGAGATGACAAAGAATACTGTAGATCTATACAATTTAAGGTAGACACTGATGAAGAGGAGAGCATGATGCATTCGTTACAAAACTTTCCTAGGTTCTTATTCTAGGCTCTTATTCTTTTATACACAAGTTGAAATTTACATGGATATCACCTCAGGTACTGTTCAAGACACTCTTTCAATTTTTGGAAAGTCACAGGTTTTGACACAAACGAGTCCATACCATTTGCAAAGCATTCTTCAGAACTCTCTGACAATGTGTTTGCTGTCATCTGCATTAATATGAGATAATAAGAAAATGATAATTTACTCCTCAAAGATTGTGTTTATGGAAGAGGTAATTCGATCCAATATTAAAACTACTTCCTAAACTTTTTGAAGATGAAATCAAATCATCCAGAATATTGTTTAGCATCTGTTTTCAGCAGAAAAAAAGCTGAGTTATGGCTCAAATTGAATTAGCACAGAGGTATAAAGGTTACCATGTTAAAGTTCTATCTAGTCTTCTCAAAACTACTCACCGCTATAATGTGGATCCGCTTTTTAGGTGGTACAGAACATTCATCTGAAGCTGGTAAACTTTGTTCAATTCCAGCTATTTTTGCAGCATCCCAAGTGCCCGTTTCCTCATAAGACCGAATCAGTTTTGTTGTTTGAAGACCATTCATAACTGGCATGTAGACATCCTGTAAAGTGGTGCAAGTAACAATTGATTACCAATAAGCATAATTGTGAACATTTACATCAATAAGCAACATTACTTGCAATTTTTAACTCACTTCTTCAGCTAACCGTACGCAAATTATCACACTAACAAACTCATAGTACAAGTGATCATTAATCTTAGGAAAACTGTACCAAGCAGAAAAGCTTGCATGACATAACTTGTATGCAACATAATTGTTAAGAAACAATTCAACCCAAAAGTTTAAGCTGTTGGGTGAGGCTACATTAATCTCATCTACCAGTATGAAGAAAGAAATTCTACTAGAAAGAAAGTAGAAATTCCACTAGAAAGAAAGTAGGGGCGGAGAGGATCGAACCCGGTACACCGAGACTCTGATACCATGTAAATAACCAATTCAACCCAAAAACTTAAGCTGTTGGGTGAGGCTACATTAATGATTTTATATATCTCAACAATAATTGTGAAGAAATAGATGTAGCGTGTGTATTTTAGGAAAAAGGAATATAACATGAATGATACAAGTTGGTGCAAATAAAGGAACATTACCTCATAAGACATCACACAAAACGGGATAATCATTCATGCTCTATGCAGCAAGAAACAATTTTTAGGTTCAAGAAATTACCATCAGAATAAGTTCATAGTTGTGGCGCTGAACTGCACGTACGGCTTCCGCTCCATTATTCACAACATCCATGCTATAACCTAACCGCTTCATCATTGACTGTGTCACCATGACATTGATCTTGTTATCTTCAACAAGAAGAATCTTAGGCTTTAATGTGGATTTGGTTACTTCTGATGATGTGCTACTGCTAATAACACATTGGGAAGTTATGTCTGTTTTCGTCTGGGATTCACTTGATTTTGTTGCTACAGTCATTCCTCTACTTGCCTCATTAAGTTGAGAAGATTCTGCACTACCATTCTGTAACCTTGCATGTGAATTATCTTGATTCTGTTTGCTTCTATTAACTAAACTTTCATGTTTTGTTTCTGGTCTGTGGCTAGATGAACTTGTTGATTCAGAAATCTCTGGAGTATCAACTACAACTGAGGATGCATCCTCAACTGAACTTATCCCTATAGATTTGATGTTACCAGAAGGGAATGAGTAAGAATTCTCTGAAAAACCATTAAACTTATGTGAGCTTCTGTAGCCTGGTAACATATTCTGGGGCCTGCTAGATCCATTAGAAGAGAAAAGAGAGCCCAAAGTGCGTGGTTGGAATTGGAAGAATCCCTCTGTTGTATCATCATCGTTATCATCCACATCTGAGAGCTCATCCGGGTCATCAGAATTATCACAAGCTGTTGAAACCTTGTATGGAAGTATGAAGGTGAAAGTAGAACCACAATTTTCTTTGCTAGACACTGTTAGACGACCACCCATTAACTCAACCTGTTCCAAGTGCAAGGAAATATTGACAAGGGGTAACTTATAATTAGTCACAGAAACAAAATCATGTTAATGTTGGTCAAGTGAGAAATGACAGACATGCCTATACAATGTTTTATGAAAGAAAACAAGTGAAAATGTAATCATTTTTTAGGCCAAAAAGACATTTCTGTTTGGGCAAGTTACAAAAATAAATAAATGAAATTTAAGAAATTATTAGGTAAGAACTTCCTGCCATAAGTACTGAAATTAACATTTTTCATGTCTCTGTGGTAAGTTCCTAGCTAAGAATTTACAAGGGGGGATAAAAAGTTTACCAGTTGTTTGCATATTGCTAGTCCTAACCCTGTTCCCCCATACTTTCGAGCGTGGTCTGCACTGACTTGCATGTACCTTCTAAATAAAGTAGGTATAGCCTTTTCTGTCACATTATAACATTGAAAGAATTAAGTACTTTTCTGTGAGAAAAATCAAACTTATATATGTATACAAAATATAACTAATGCTAAAACAAACAGAAGGATAGAGAACAAGTTCTAAGAATCTAGATGAAGTCATCATGCACCTGGTATTCCAATTCCTGTGTCATGTACATCACAACGTATCCACACTGTTGTTTCAGTTGAATGAGTTTGCTCCTCAATATCTCCATTCACTGAGCATTCACTTTTAGCTGAAGATCTACATTCATCATTAAATGTGTGATTTTGGCTGGGATGACCATTGTGTTTTTTACCATCAAGAGCATTTTGATCACTGCTACTTCGAGGTGCTGATAGATGTTTCTCTTCCTTCACCCCAATTGCTAAAATAGTTGACTGGTCAGCGATCCTGTTTTGATGGCCTTCTTCTGCTTGGGCAAAAGATGGTTCTGGAACAACGTAAAGGTTAATACCAACTTTTCCTTCACGTGTAAACTTGACCGCATTGCTGCAAATATATTAGAAAATAATAAATGTAGAGCAACAGATAATCAGAAATGCATTCTTTTGTGTACATGAAGCAAGTAGAGTAATATTATAAAAGAAAAATTCATTAGTCTAGATAAACCATCTTGTCCGTTAGTGGATATTGAGCTCTAGCACTAACTATGCATGAGATTTTAAAGCTAATTCTATCAAAGTGTGCTTGTATTCTATTTCAGAATACAGATTAAAAATTATGTGCAAAAAATTATCTATTCAGAATGTTGAGATATATAAAACTATTAATATAGCCTCATTCTTTTGGGTTGAATTGGTTCTTTACATGGTATCAAAGCCTCGGTGTACCGGGTTCGATCCTCACTGCCTCCCACTTTCTTTCTAGTGGAATTTTTTTCTTCGCATAGGTAGGTGGGCTTGTGCATCGTTCACCCGTCAAGTCCAGTGGGCTCTCGTGTGAGGAGACGTGTTGAGATATATAAAACCATTAATATAGCCTCTCCCAACAGCTTAAGCTTTTGGGTTGAATTATTTCTTTACACCGGAAGATTCCATATAAAACCAATGACATACTATGGAGTACAAAACAGTGTCATTTTTGGTATATGACCATTGGCCAGAGCTGTTAAACTGAACCAAAGAGATGGTACACAAGAATAGAAGGCGAATAACTTCTTGTGTTAAATAATGGATAATGGTGCTGAATCTGATGACCTTTTTCAAGATACATTAATATAATAGGGAGCCTCCCAGAGGGGCGGTATTCATTACTAGAAGTACTACTTCTGTATACTAAAGTGGCGGTAAAGTTATCCAGCTAGCTATGGACTAACACTAATGTGCAGCCAAGTATAGAAGACAGTACTCATCTAAAAGAATAAATGAAAATGAGAAAATTGGATGCGGTACATGAAAATCTAAATGGGATCATTTGAAGCGGTTAACTACAGCCATGATTGCACACTGTGAGATTACAAATCACATAAAGCTTAGTACCTGACTAAATTTGTGAGAATCTGCCGAATCCTTAAAACGTCTCCAATGACCTGCAATTATGCAAGAATCATTTGAAGTGTAAAGTACTTATATCACTTATCAGGTGAAATCATGCTTTGCATTTGAAAGTCAGGTCAGGACCCGAATCCTTCATCATGCTTTGCATTTATCAGTTAATTACTAGAATAACACGTAGGACTTACGAAAAGAATCACTATAGCTGAGGTACATCATATAAGTAGTCCAGCATTTAGGTTCAACAATAATGACAAACCTTTGATAGAAAAGCAAGAACGTGTTTTACGTAAGTTCTTACCTCAATAGGTATATCATCTGCCACATTTCCTTCTAAGGTTAACATTTTCTGCAGTGATGCTGCAGCTGTCTGGAGTACATGCTTTACTACCTCTCTTGGCCGGAATTTGGTAGCTTCCAATTTCATAACTCCTACACAAAGAACAAGGGGGTTTGTGGGGTGGGAAGAAATTTAAATGATCACCTAAGGTCAGAAAATTAAAAAGCACTTTTGCCTTCACTAAATATAACCAACTTCCAAGTTTCCACTCTGAATGATTAAAATTAAGTCTTTGAATAACTGTCAAAGTTCAGATATCACTGACAACAAGCAATGGTACAGTAGAGATTTCTAACCTGACTCAACCTTGGAAAGATCAAGAATGTCATTTATAAGCTGAAGAACCAAATCTCCTGAAGATATCATGACATCCAAGAGCTGTCTTTGCTCCTTATCAAGTTTTGTGGTAGAAAGAATTTCAGCCATGCTAACAACACCAGATAGCGGAGATCTTATCTCATGAGACATTGTTGCCAGCATTTGTTTTGCTCGCATAGTCTCCTCTATTAAAAGATAGGGAAGGATGGGGAGAAGAATAAGCCTTCTTGCTACCAAAGCAACTTGAAAGTAAAATTCATAAATAATATTTAGCCAAGTGATTAAACCTGTAATGTGAATGGTTTTATTAAGTTCTGTTTCCTTGGCTTTCTGAACTGCAATATCTTCCCTAAGCTTTGCCATTTTTTCTCTTTTCCTCACCTGCGGTTACTTGAGAAATGTAAATATCCTCTTTACAAGCACAAGATTGCAACTACCACTTAAAAAGTTAAAACCAAATAACATTTACCTGATCTGTTATTTCCATTCCCATATAATTTATTCCAATTGTCTCCCCTGCCTTGCTAAATACAGGTTCTACATATATCAAGAATGTCTTTGACCCAAATAAGTCTGTCTCAAAAGTAATTTCCTTTTTTGCAGGTAATCCTTTCTCCATTACTTCTCTCTTAAAATCTTGAGATTCCTTGACACCAGATCCTGTGAAAATTTCAACATCCGTTTTTCCTATGATGTCCTGAAAAAGACAAGTGAGTTTTAGGAGTCAAGATATTACAGTGTACTTTAACTCTTTTGCAAAAGAAGTAAAAATAGAGGAAAGAAACTTCAATTTTTGAAGAAGTTTCTTCTGAGGTTTGTGCAGGTTCTGATTAAAAAAAGAAAAAAAACTACAATGCAACTTTAATCATATGACCCTGCAACAAGAGCATGAAAAGCAATCATTACCTCCTCTTGTAAACTTGGAAAATGATTATAGATAAAGCGATAGCGTAACTCTTTGTCCTGGAAGAAAAATATCACAGAATCAGCCCTTTGCAGAATGGAAATTTTCGATATAATGGAAAACACAAAGGAGTTATAGTTTTTAAGTATTGCAGGCCATGTGTTGGGGGAAAACAAAGTCATCTAATACCAAAGTATAGCAGATTTTTATCAATTTGGCAACAAGTTCCTATACTTATGCTTCATCTTTTATACACCACCTAATCCTCCAGCGCAATTTTAGAGCCACTAATGCTTCCTAGGTCTCAACTCCTTAAGTACAAAGACTAGTGAAAAACTAATATAATCTCAGATAAATTCTAATACCATAATAAGCCAAGATTTTTCCATAAAGTTATTTCAGATATAGAAATAAACACAATACTCACTGTAACATACCTGATGGCCAATAACAACTGGTGCATTTTGGAGTATAAAGTGTAAGAAATTATCTGCTCTTTTCAGAATCTGGGAGAGTTCTTCCACAGGTGAGGATTGCCTTTCAATGTCCTTTATACTTTCCTGCAACTTTTCCTTAAGCACCTGCTCTCTCTGGACACTTGCCTCCAACTGTCTTTCCAAATGAAGGGCACGCTGTTTCCAGTACACAACAGTATCATACTCAGCATCAATTTCAACTCTCTTGTTTTGAACAACAACATCATTTTTCCTTAATGGAACTTGTACTTCTTGCCATGTATAGTAAACTTCATCTAAAATAGAAACGGGGCGTTTATCACCCCCATAATTTTCCTCCTCAAACCGATTGTCTTCAAGTATCTCCAACTTCCTGAGCTCAACTTCCTCCCTTTGTTTGCTAAGGTTGTCAAGTTCTTCTCTGAGAAGACGCACCGCATTGGCTTGCTTATACTCCCAGTGTTTCATAAGATACGCCAACTGAGAAGACCCTTTATCTGTATAATTTGTAAGCTCCATCAAACGCTGGAAATCAGCTATAGTTGGCTCCCCTAAGATTGTGACTTCCTCTAACATATCTTGGTCCATTCCAGGCTTTTCTATATTGAACTGTTTTCCAACATCACTTCCAATATCTTCAGGCCACATTGAAGGGAGGACTTCAATGTCCATAATATCCTCAATACAGTCGCTTTCCATCTCACAAACCATTGAAAGCTACTCTGATTACATCCAACTTTCTTTTCTACAATATATAACTTGTGATCTCAACTAGTTCACCCTTCAATGCCATTATTGCACTTGCTTCTCAAGAAGTGCTAGTCCAAGTTTAACTCTTGGCTTTATGTGTAATATATATTAAAGACAGTGTCAACCAGAACACTAAGAAGGAAGCCAAAGCACTAGTGCCAGCTGCAATCTGTTAGACCAAGATGAGTCTCTCATAAGTTTGGCACTGAACTTCGACATTGGAAGAAATATATAATAATAGAAAGGTGGAATTGAAATAAAAAGGGAGAAAAATAAAATAAAATCAAAAGTAGTACAGTGAAAGTAGCCAAGATCAAGAACTTTAACCAAACAACTAAAGAAGTATAAGGAAAAAGTCATAAGAGACGAAACAAAGTGGTTTCTGATTAGATATCATTATGTCAAGCTAAAGAAAGGAAATGTGGAATGTGGCAAAATTATGAATTGGTGCATGAAACCATTTTCTAAAATTACACTGCACATTCAGAATAGCCAGGAATGAAGTGAAAAAAGAACTTTGAGAGCTTTGGAGGTCAGTCACAAAACAAATCAAACTTCAGCAAATTAACACTTCCAAATTGCAAACTAAAAATACTCATTTTCACAATGATTGATTCCAATTGCAAACAATGAAATCAAGGATCCATCATCCACCCCAAAAAAAAAAAAAAGATAAAATAAATAAAATAGCAACATTCAAAAGGAAAAGCATAAGAATTTAAATTGGGCTGCCTCAAAACAATATTATTTATGATTATAAATCATGATAGTGAGTTGTTGAAGAGCTCCAACCTTCTTGGATTAACAGAATCAAAACAAGTCACCAAAAAAGAGAGCCAGAAAGATGAAGAATTGAGGCTGACAATGTCCAAAAGTCTTTCCCTGTAGATCTGAAGAATCTCTTCAACTATGGAGTCAAAAGCATTCAATGAAACAAACACGTAGCTAATCACTATAGAGGAGAGAGAAAGAGAGAGAGAGAGAGAGAGGACAGCATGTGATTGTTAACTTGCGAGGTTAAAGGAAGAAACTTTTAAAAAAACCAAAAATTAATAGTACGGAAACCCAAGCAGCCATGTGCATTAAGAGGTCAAATATGATAGAGAAATGTTCTTCACCATTTATTTTTATGTTATTTTTATTTTTTCCTTTTATTTTAGTTGTCTTTCCCGCGTCATATTATAAGGCAACAACGTTTACCTTCAACTGTTGTGAGTTTCTTCCCTCTGCAAAACAAAACCTCGTGTTAACGTTGGCTACAACGCATTCAGCTATAGTTCTATTACCTAGGATCCAACTTTCTTTACTACGTTTATTATTTATTAAGCAACTTTTACGTTATTTATCAACATGACAATTTTATATAGATAGAAAAAAAAAGACACAAAAATACATGCAAACTTGATTAATTGGTAGAGAAATATAAAAACTATTGCTTATCCATTTATGCTTTTAGATGAATTAATTGTTTTATGAGTTCACTCTTCTACGGTCAATGTAGATAACTTATCTACATTGAGCCCAAAACGACGTCGTTTTGAGGTGAAAATCATTGTATTTTTGTAATTATAATTTATTTCATGGTTATAATAGTCTTTCCATTATAATTTTTTAATTTTTCAACCCAAAACGATATTGTTTTGGAAGCAAATGTAAATAACTTATCTATATTCACCGTAAAAACATTAAAACCTTATTTTATATGATTTCAGAGCCTCCCTAATTACATCACGAGTTCAATTCAATGCCCCACTTTCTGATGAAATTAAACAAGCATGGACGTGATGCATGGTTCACGCTTCATGTTCAAATAGCTCTTGCGTCATGGGTTCGAATCTCCGAAATAACACTTTACAAAGCGTTGGGGAAATTATTGGAGAGGCAATATCTTGTCTTGGCAAGACTCGTACAGATTCGAGACGGAATCTCCACTTTCTACTGAAATTAAATAAGAAAAAATTTCAAAAACTCCCTTACGAGTTTTCTTAATTATCACTTACTCCTCTCATAAATTTTTTGAATCATTTGTACCCTTATTCATTTTTTTTACCATTTACCCCCTGATTTAAAGTTTCTTTATCACTTACCCCCCACTTAGGGAATTTTATTCCCTTGTCCTTTTTTTCTTTTTCTTCTCCCTCTCTCTCTCCTCTCTCCTCTCTCCTCTTTCTCTCTTTACTTTTTTTCTCTCTCGAGGGACCAATGGGCCTGGAGCTCTACATTTTCTCTCCTCACTTAGGAGGTAAGTGATAAAAAAAAAATTAAAAGCGGGGGATAAATAATAATAAAATTTGAAAAGAGGATAAACAATTATGAGAAAAATTATAGGGAGTTTTTGAAGTTTTTTCATTAAATAAATATAATCTAAAAAAAAAGTCATGTGCTTATTAATCAAACAATCATGAATTTGATAATGTCTTGTCACTCTCTCTCTCTCAGAAAACTAAAAAATAAATAAATAATAATAACTGAATCAACTAACCAACAAATTTAGAGAGAGAGAAAGAGAAAAATAGAATTGTTTTTATGGAGAGATAGAGTTTTTAAATCTAAAGGAAGGCATTGATGTTCCCCGCCATTTCCAATTTGATGTGTGTGGCGCGTATATTAACGCGCTATGGGAGAGTGAAGGTTTTACCGAAACAAACCCACATGATAGATCTCTGCTTAATGTTTAATTTACTATTTTACTTTGCGATGCGATGCATGTATTGAGAGTTGAGAGTTGAGACCCCAAAGAAAGAAGCAACCAATGAATGGGGCGGTTGCACAGATTCTTATTTCTTAATAATATAAATAAGATTATCTCTGATCACATTTTATTAATCTCAGATTAATTAAGTTCATCACTTAACGTACTACGTTTGTTAATTAATATTATTTTACCATTTCCTGTCACACGTATATAAGCAGGTTTGATTGGTTACCCAAACATTGTTGCATGTCAATGGTTTTCAAGTTTTATTAATAAACCCGTGAAGAGACACCAATCACTAGTAATTAGTTTAGCTTTGAAGCATGTTTCTAGTTGATCTGTTTTTTTTTTTGTTTAGTTTTGATATTGTTAATAAGAAAATTGCACTAATATGTAATATTATATTAATAATTCATTTAATAACTACAAAACACATTCAAGAGTATTAGTGTACATTTTTTTACATATCAAAATTAAATTTAAATGCTTTATAAAAAAACCAATAATAATAAAATGAATTTTGACTCCTGCAACCTTACAACTAAAAAAAAAAAGCAACTATGGCTGTATAATTCTATTAAACTACAATTATAAATACAAACGCTACTTTAGACATATAATTTTAGGAAAAAAATATTTCTCTTGTCGCAGAAGATAAAGTTATTTTCGGTAACTCTAAAACTACGTCGTTTTATGGGTTGAAAAATTAATGAAGGATATTTTAGTAATTTTATTTGTTTATTTGTTATATTAATTTTATCAAAATACTCTTTATTAATTCCCCCAACTCTCAAAACGACGTAGTTTTGTGATTGTTGGAGAAAAGATAAACCTATAATTTTATAAGGAAATGTCATTTTTACAAACTCAACTGTCTATTCCCGAGAATAGACTCAGTTAGGAATGTATTTTCGGCAATACATAGTGTAGTTTATAAGAGTTTGTAAATAAAAAATTTGTAAATATAATCTACCTCAATTTTATATGGGTTCATTCTTTCTGCAGTGAATGCAGATAAGTTATCTCCATTAAATCTAAAACGACGTCGTTTTGAAGCGAAAATCATTGTGTTTTATAATTATAATTTATTTCAAAGTTAAAATAGTCTTTATCATTGTAATTTTTAATCTTTCAATCCAAACGATGTCGTTTTGTAAGTATATATATATAACTTATCTACATTTACTAAACATTAAATTCATTTTATATATGTTTAATATTAAAATTTATGTGCATCATATCCTCACAACGCCTTTACTCCCTAAAGATGATCCCACTTACCAAATAAAACTATAATCTAAGAAACCCAAGCAGCTTATAGACTTATGGTGAGTCCTGCTCAAAACAAAAGTTTGCGGACTTTAAACTATATCATCCACTTTCTAATCATGTTCTGCGTTCGAGGATGAATATAGGCTAGTTGTTTTATTGCAAACAAAGCTTTCTTGGGATATTTTAATGCGTTGCGAGAGAACAAGAGTAAATTAATTAAATAGACATAAAGAAATCGCCAATAATAAAATCACGTCCTTGTCAAAAAAATAACAATAATAATAATAATAGTTGGAGCGACATGGGTGTGTTATAAATTGGTCTAGATTATAAAAAACACTAATACACACTTTGTTATTTGTTTATGCATCTGAACAACTAAGCCATATTCTCCTTAGTTGTGTCTGTTTCTTGAACACTGTCAAATTAGCCACTCCCATGTGACACTCTGCTTAGTTGCCTTCGCACTACATCAATTCAACAACTGCCATGTGGCACGCTGACTTTTGTGACACATGGCATCGATATATTTATTTATGGTAGCTACATGACATTGTTATAACTTATATGTTTTATATAGTTATGTGTTCTTTCTTCCTTTTTCATCTTTGAATATCAAATTTGAAATGCCAGTTAATATTCGCTCATCCCTTCTGGATAGAATGATTAATATCCACAAGCCAAGTTGCAATGCTTTGTCAAAAGGAAAAAGATGACATGAGATTAAGATATATATTACTCAAATTAAATCGTGTCAAACAAACATATATTTTCATATTAAAACTATGGGATCTATTAATCTCATGCAACAGATATAAAATTGTAGAGTCTACTACTTTTTCAAAAAAATAATAATAATAATGGATTTCACTATTTTGTCTCTGTTGCATGAGATAAACATGAGATAATTATTTCCCTAAAACTATATTGAGAAAAAGAAGAGATTAATATAAGTTCATATATGTCCGAACATTATCAATTTATGAATTGCATT